ACAAATGCCAAGTTCTGCACCTAGGAAGGAGAAACCAAATGCATCAATATAATATGAGGAATAATTGGTTCAACAATACTGCAGGTGAGAAGGATCTTGGAATTGTTGTAGATCAGAAGCTGAATATGAGTCGATGATGTAACGTAGCTGCAATTTGGGATTTTGGGATACATTAACACAAGTATCGCTTCCGAACCCTGTGAAGTACTAGTTCCCCTTTACTCAGCTTTAGTTATACCTCGTCTGGAGTTCTGTGTCCACCCTGGACACCTTTAAGAAAGGTGCAGGGAAGGTGGAAAGGAGGAGGGCAGCAGGGATGATCCAGGGCCTGGAAACAAAACTCCATGAGGAAAGAACTGTGCATGTTTAGCCTGGAGAAGCGGAGACTGAGGGGAGATACGATAGCACTCGACGAGGACTTGAAGGGCTGCCACAAAGAGGAAGGACAGGATCTCTTCCCGATCAACCTGGGGTGCAGGACATGGAATAACTGGTTCCAGTTACAGGGAGCCAGGTTCCAGCTGGACATCAGGAAAACTTCCTGACTGCAAGAGCAGTACGACAATAGAACCGATTATCCAGGGAGGTTGAGGGTTCCGAGAGGGATGGATTCGCCTGGAGTCCTGCACTGAGCAGGGGTTGGACTTGGTGGCCCTCTGGCCCCTTCCATGATTCTGTGATCCACGCAGGGATGATTTTTAAGCAAAAGTCTGGGCTGCCTTGTAAAATGTAGGGATCTACCAGCAGCACATTTTGCCCTCATTTTCATTTGTACTTAATGAGATATATTTATACAAAATTAGCCATTATGCTGTGTGCTTGTTGCTGGGCTGCGGGAGTCCTTTTATGTTGAGCTCAGAGTCAGTTACATAACATGAGTGGATGAACAAAACCATGTCATCGTAAAAAAGCACCCCCCCCAACTTTCCAGTTAGGGTGACCATTTGTCCTGCCTTCCAGGAGGCAGTCCTCTCATTGAAGGTGTCCTCAGCTGGAAGGGTTCTCCAGCCCGAACCCAATGCAAAGATGAAGAGCCATTGGAGGGGAGGCCCGAAGGGACTTCGGAGTTGCCCACCCACAGTTAGCAATTGGACAGACTGTAGGCAGGTTCAGCTGCCACCAGGTCAGAGTCTTCCATGCGAGGGTGAATATCCATAGCCTGCATTTCCTTTCCAATGATTGGAATGATTCATACATTTGCAAGCATACCTAACATACCGGTCAAATGTGCAGGTTATGCAAACTGGTGTCCTCTCCTTCAGCAATGCATGGCCTTTTTTCTCAGGCAATGCGTGGACAGCCGTTCTTTCCCAGACACCCCCAGTCCAGGCAGGCAGTTCTTTAAGGAGTCATGGGGAGATTAAGACTGAGGTGAGGCATTATGTAAGTCGCTGAGAATTTCTTGAAAGTTTAAATATAATTAATGTGTAATAGATAAAAACGCTGATTCTCGATGTGTTTCCCAAGCAGCAGTACACAGCATTCTTTGTGGGACACCATGATCTTTGTAAGCTGCCCTGGAAGCCTATTAATTAATTAATCAATCGTGAAAGGGCAGGAGATAGTAAAGAAAGAAACCAACTCAACCAGGAGGAAGGTGTAGGGCTGTAGGTATCCACCACGTGGATTTTCTAAGAATGCATCCAGGGCTGATGTGCAGCCTAGAGGCATTCCAGAAAGGAAGATGGCCCTGCTGGGTGACATTTTTGCTATCACTTTCTAGACTCCAAGTTTAAAAAAAGCATTTTTTAAAAAATAAATCAAATTAAACCCAGGAGGGTCAGAGACCTGATGCACACCAAGAGGGACATGGGCAGCCCTTGGCCTTCCCACTCAGTAGCCAGAAAAATACAGCTGGGGAACAAGTTTACTGCTTAGTGGATTTTGGGTAGTGTACAGTTTGGGTAGAATGCTGACCATACATTTCGCTGAATATTCCTCAAAGTAAAAGCCAAGTGGAAATTTCAGAAAGGACTGGAAAACCACTGAGGAGTCTAGGCTCAGCCAGCAGTGCCTCATGGGCAATCCCTTTCAAACCTCCCTTTTGTGATCGCAAAGGAAAGATTTGCTGAGAATGTCAGTTCCCGGGCTGTTAACGAAACACAGCCCATATTGCCAAGTTCAGTCCAAATTGCTGCCATTGGGAAAATGCTGCTTCTTCCTGAGATGGCTGCAAAGGCCAGGTTGATTTGATCAGAACAACAGCTGAAAAGTCCTGCTTGGAGCCGTGGACATCAAGTTTATGTCAGCTGTAAACTAACTGGAGTTCTTCAGACCAGTTGCTTGGTTTTATAAATCAGTTCAGCAAAGAAGTCAGATGACTTATGCTACTTTTCTGCTACCAAATACAGGACACCGCCTGCAAATTAGGATCATGCACATTATCATAGATGCAGAAACACCGCAGCAACATTCTTGATGGGCCAGAGGCAGGGATGGGGAAGAGCATTGATCAGTTTGGGTGCAAATGTTACCTCTGCGGCTGAGGCTTCTCTGGACTTGGGGCCTTGTGGGTGTGCAAAGCAAGGGATGGCAGCAGCGATCGTTGCCGGCACTCCGCTGCCTGTGCCCTTCGCATTTTCTCTAGGTCAGTGGCTCTCAGCCTGTGGTCTGTGGACCCCTGGGAGGCTGCAATGTTGTCATTGGGGGTCCACGAAGGCTTGAAGAAATGTTATGTTTTTTGCAGTTAAACCTGAATGAACAAACTAGTGCACAAACAAAAGCAAGAAGGAATGGGGAATAGAACAAAATCTTAATTTTCCATGCTTGCTGTGTAAAACTTGGCTTTTTAAGCCTATTGTCTCAATTAAAAACTGGGTCCAGGGGCTCCACATTAAAGGAAGGATATAGCCAGGTTAGAGTCCGTGCAGCGTAGGGCCACGAGGTTGGTGGCCGGTTTGCAGGGGATGCCGTATGAGGCGAGACTGAGGGAACTGGGTCTCTTTAGCCTGGAGGAGAGGCGACTCAGAGGGGATCTGTTGGAGACATACAGGTATGTGAGGGGAGATGGGTAGAGACCTGTTCTCCCCTGCAGAGGAAGGCAGGACGCGCTCCAACGGAGCAAAGCTCGGGGAACCAAGGCTCAATTTGGATGCCAGGACGCACTTCCTGACAGTCAGGACCCCGAGGGTGTGAAATGGGCTTCCCCGGGAGGTCGCTGAGGCCCCATCGGTGTGGGTGTTCAAGGATAGGCTGGACAAGCACATGGGGGGCATGTCATGAGCAGAGCCGGCTGTAGCCGGGGGTCAGACTAGATGGCCCAGGAGGCCCCTTCTGACTCACTCTTTTTATGTTTCTAAAAGCAAACAGTGGTATAAATTGGCTGTGAGAGTCGCTGTCTGATGGCAAAAAGCCGTGTTTGATATTTCTGCACACACTGAGAACATGCAAGTGAATGACTCTGAGTGGCAGAGGAAAAGCGCATGATATTTCCTGTTATTGCTCAGACAGTCAGAAACCTTGGAGCAGAGAAAGCTGAGCCTGTCATTTGAGCAAAAAGAGTGTTGATACTATTATTATTTCAAATTCATATGGAATAATTGCAATCAAGATATTATAACAGGAGTGTGTGTCTTAACAGATTAACTTATTTCCCCTTCTCTCCAAATTTGAAGGCCCTTCATGAGAAAATTGAAATAAACATTTAATGCAGTCTAGTGCTTTAAATCTTGAGTTGAGTCTTAGCGGGCCGTGGCAACCAAAGGCGTTTTAAGGGGGTATGTGGTGAAGGAAAGGTTGCGCTCCACTGCTCTAGGTGATGCTGCACCTTGTACTGGTGCTCGTCACCCTCCAAGCATGAGCTTTTGCCTGGGCGGGGAGACAGGATCGTGCCCTTCCAGCTATAGTTGCCATACCTTTTGCTTTCATCATGCTTTTCCCCCCCGACCCCCAAAGACAAAGTTCGCAGATCTCAAATGCGTAAGGAATGGGAAACAACGGAAAGGGGGCCGCCTCTGGGAGTGTTCGGAGAGAAGACGCAAGTGAGGGGAGGCAGGATCCAAGTGGGCAACGTCATGCGTGGTGCACAACTGAAGGAGACATTTTTCTCCCTTTCTTATGATGCTCCAACTTAATGGGGTCCTCCCACAGAACTGAATGGCAGGAGAGTCAGGTCAAAGGAAGAACTACTTCACACAACATAGTACAGGGAATTCATCCGATCCACCAGTCTGGGTGGCTTTGAAAGGGATTGGAAGGATTCCCAGGGCAGACGGCTACCAGCGGCTCCTCATCCTCATGGCTCTGTGTTGCCTCCAGTGTCAGGGGTGGTAAGCCTCTGTGCACCAGTTTCTGGGGAAGATGGGTAGGAAGGGGCCGTTGCCTGTGGTCCTGCTTGTGGGTTTTTCATAGGCAATTGGTTGGCCTTTGTGGGAACAGAATGCTGGGGTTGGGGGACCGGTGGTCTGATTCAGCTGAGCTCTTCTCCTTTTAGTCCTGCTTTACAGGTAGGAGCAAAGGGGACACAACCATCACTTCTACACATAATATGAGTTCAGAAGCATATGGGCATTCTGCTCTAGGACCCCTCCTTGAAGGAGGTTAGGGGAGAGAACACCCGGAGGAGGGCCTTCTCTGTGGTGGCGCCCCGGCTGTGGAATGCGCTCCCCAGAGAGGTTTGCCTGGCGCCAGCGTTATATTTTTTTCAGCACCGTGTAGAAACCTTTTTATTTGCCCAACATTTTAAAGCTTGAATAATTTCAATCTGGTTTTATTAATATTGATATTGATGTTACTATTCTCAGTTGCATTTTATCTTGTTATTTTATTCTTTGATTGTTTGTATTTATTCTTTATTTATATTGTAAGCCATCCTGACACAATTGGATTGTATAGGACGGGATAAAAATATTCTAAATAAATAAGTAAGCACCTTCCAGAATTAAGCCCAGCCACTGACAAAGGATTCTTTTGGCGCACTAACATCAGTGCCAAAATGAAAAATGTTTCATTTTGTGAGATGGCTTACTCTTATCTTTTCTTGTTTCTTTCTTCCAATTTAGAATCAAGTTTTTTACTGGGCAATGCTCAAATTGTGGACTGGCCCGTAGTTTATAGTAATGACGGATTTTGTAAACTTTCTGGATACCACCGAGCTGACGTCATGCAGAAAAGCAGTACCTGCAGGTGAGTCTCCCTGGATGGTTCTGCTTGGAGGGACCCTTTGTGTTTTCCAGTCTCCCAGTTACTCCCGGAGGATTGCCAAGATGCCAGAAACTTTAAATGTGCATCCATGTGGTGTGTCTGCATTCATTCAGAATGAATGGCGCATTTCACCAAATGGAGACTCTTTGGTTCTCTTTCCATTCATTCCACAATGAATGTGTTGAAGAATGGAAGGGTAGGAATAGATCTCATGTTGTCTATTCCCAACATTTTTGCTATTGAAGGCTTGGAGAAATTCCATGAAATGTTCTGCCCAATTTATCTCTCTGCAAAAATATTTTTGAATGTTTTAATTGTATGAATTTTAATGTTGTCATTTGCCTTGAGTGCCAGTCCTTGGGAACAGGCAGGATATTTATAAATAAATACTTTTACTACTACTACTACTAATAATAATAAATAGGGACACAAAATTTTGAGAGGTCTTTGGTGACTCCATTGCGGACCGTGCTCTAACCAGTCCATGGACGCAAGCAGATGTGAAAATGAGCTGGAATACTAGAACATAGAAACAGAGCGAGTCAGAAGGGGTCTCCCGGGCCATCTAGTCTGACCCCTGGCTCCGCTCAAGTCATGCCCACCATGTGCCTGTCCAGCCTATCTTTGAAACAGAAGAGCAGGGGAAGCGTTGAGCTCGACTTTGGCACTGGGCTGGAAGTTGGAACTTGCATGGCTGCTGCCAGGAGGGGTTTGGGCAGGGCATTAAAGAATGTAATTCTTTGACCTGTTGTCTGCTCAGTCTCTTTATCTCCTTTTAAAAAAAGCAATGGCTTCTTGAAGGTTTACCTAGATCTCACACTGAATGCTTAGAGCCTCAATCTCACCCTTCCCTCCAGCAATGGAGTGTGCCTTCTATATTTGCCTTAGAGGGTTTCAGAACAATTTTGCAACTGTAAATGTTGAACAAAGCAAGGTGTAAATCATAGTTAAGCATTCTTGGGTTGCAGTTCGGCAGTATTCCGAACCATAAATATGTGTTTAAGAGCGCTGTTTTCTTTGCTGGTGAAACCAATGTGATCTCTCTCTCTCTGATTTTTCCTTTTACAGTTTTATGTATGGTGAACTCACAGACAAGAAAACCATTGAAAAAGTCAAGCAGACATTTGATAACTATGAGTCAAACTGCTTTGAAGTTCTCTTGTACAAGAAAAACAGTAAGTATGGAATCGCATGCAGCTTGTTGAGTTGGGAACCATACTGCAACGTAATGGTAAATTTTACAGGGAGAGCATCCATCATCATCCACAGTCACGCTCCCAAGAAGAGTCCAAAACTGCAGGCAGCAGTGTGAATCCACACCGTCAGTCCAATTATTGGCGTTTTCATCTGCTTGGAGCAGGTCTTCCGTAAAACTATTGGGCAATATAAATGCATGTATAATTTAAGGCACTATCCTATGCATGTTTCAAAGGGAAAAAAGTTCTACAGCTCCTAGCACAGAGTTGCAGGGGGGCCAAGCAAAATGTCCAGGGGCCATAGGATTGCTCTGTAATTATATGCATGCTGGTAGTTTGGTCAGTTGGTTAAACCTGGATAAATGGCCATTTGTTGATATTATTAGAAACATGGCGCCATCGCTTGTAATTCATTGTACTGAAGAGAAGCAAAAACTGCTTCCTAATGATCTTGTGCAGATATTTTCTTGGTATTTTATTTATATTCCACCCTTCCCTGAGAGTTTTGGGAAGCTGTGCATGGTTGTCCATAGACCATAAGGAAAGCTGAGCGCTGAAGAATTGAGGCCTTTGAATTGTGGTGCTGGCGGAGACTCCTGCGAGTCCCTTGGACTGCAAGGCGATCAAACCGGTCAGTCCTAGAGGAGATCAACCCTGAATGCTCTTTGGAAGGCCAGATACTGAAGATGAAGCTCAAATACTTTGGCCACCTAATGAGAAGGAAGGACTCCCTGGAGAAGAGCCTAATGCTGGGAACGATTGAGGGCAAAAGAAGAAGGGGACGGCAGAGGATGAGGTGGCTGGATGGAGTCACTGGGGCAGTCGGCGTGAGCTTAAGTGGACTCCAGGGGATGGTGGAGGACAGGAAGGCCTGGAGGAATGTTGTCCATGGGGTCGCGATGGGCCGGACACGACTTCACGACTAACAACAACACACGGTTGTCCCTGTTTTGCATGAACTCTGTGAGATGGGCTTTGCAAAGAGATGCTCAAGGCCCAAAGCTACTTAAGGAGTCCTGTAGGCCAATGGTGATTTACTTGACAGGCAGCAGTGAAGAAGCAAAAAGAGGTGCGGGGATGCAGGGATGCTTCACTGAAGACCAGGGCCAAGTTTCTCCAAATTATTGTATTCCCAATGACTATGTGTGGCTGTAAATGTTGGAAGAAAGCTGACAGGAAGAAAATCAATGTGCTTGACACATGGCGCTGGAGGAAAGCTTCGCAAGAAGCCTGGAAGGATGGGTCCGGGATCAGACCAAGCTTGAACTTGCCCTGGAAGGAAAAATGGCAAGACTGATGCTGTTGTAGTTTGGACACATCATAAGAAGCCAAGACTTCCTGGAGAAGATAGTCATGCTGAGGAAAGCTGAAGGCAGAAGAAGAGGAAGACCAGCTGGGAGATGGATCGATTCTACAAAGGAAGCCACAGCCTTGAGTTTACAAGAGCTGAGCAGGGCTGTCAAGGTTAGGCCGTTTTAGAGGACATGCCTTCACAGGGTCTCCATAAGTCAGAGGCAACTTGATGGCATGAAACAGCAGCTCTTCAGTCCCCTCTGACTCTTGGGGGCTGCATTCTGAGGGTGGTGGTGGTGGTTGTTAGTCGCGAAGTTGTATCTGACACATCGCGACCACATGGACAACATTCCTCCAGGCCTTCCTGTCCTCCACCATCCCCTGGAGTCCACCTAAGCTCACACCAACTGCTTCAGTGACTCCATCCAGCCACCTCATCCTCTGCCGTCCCCTTCTCCTTTTGCCCTCAATTGTTCCCAGCATTAGGCTCTTCTCCAGGGAGTCCTTCCTCCTCATTAGGTGGCCAAAGCATTTGAGTTTCATCTTCAGGATCTGGCCTTCTAAAGAGCAGTCAGGGTTGATCTCCTCTAGGACTGACTGGTTTGATCGCCTTGCGGTCCAAGGGACTCGCAGGAGTCTCCTCCAGCACCACAATGCAAAGGCCTCAATCCTTCGGCACTCAACCTTCCTTATGGTCCAGCTTATGGTCCAGCCATTGCAAATTCTGAGGGTGGGTGAGGTCAAAGGCAAAGGGGTGGTGTCAACAATACCAGTTTCATGCTCTCACTGCCCGTAACAAAACCTTAGGGGAGTTGTTTCAATGGGAGACCCTTCACAAAAGCTGGGAAACCCCGGAACAACTGGCAATTTGGGTGGAGTCACAGGAGGGGCGTGGACATCTGTGGAAGCCTGGGGGACCAGTGGCTTTGTCCACGCTCTGTTCAGTTCCCCATACTTTTGGGGCAGAGAGAGCGACACTGAGCAGTCGAGACATCGGGAAATGCTGTTCTAACATGGCTGGAACTGTCCCCCAACCAAAATGCAATGCAGACCTTATGTCCAACTCTTGTGTGCCTTGTGTGTCAAGGACTTGGGAATTTGCCTCTCTTCCCATCTGCATTGTTTTGCCTACTCTGTTGGGTGCTGGGGCTTCATGGACTGAGAGAGATTGCTTCCTCCTGCACTTGCTGGAGGACCCACAGATAGGGAAGTGGGAGGCAACGGATGGGGGAGGACTCCTGGATGGAATTTCATGATTCAGCCATGATTTTCATGGATTCCGGTTCACCAGCCTGGCACTGGCATCAACCAGCTCTTGGAGCTCTGACTCATGCATTTAAAAACAAAGCCAAAAAAGAGTAAGGAAATGTGTATAAAATCTGGCACTTGGCACCCCAAAAAACACACGGCCCCAGCATGCTTTGCACAAACTGGGTAGTGGCCATAATACTGTGACGTGCATACATCGTATGGTTTGCACAAATTTCCTTACTGTTTTTAAAACTGTGCAAAGCAAAATTGTGCACGAAGCCTTTGAAACCTCCCCTCCATCCCCATCCCCAGTGCAACCAGGCCCTGCTTTCAGTTTGGTTCGGAGACCAGCAGGAAGTCTGTTGATTCAGGGAATCTGATCTGGGGTCTTCTGCACGCTGTGCTTGTGCTATGCCCCTGAGCTATCGTGTTCTTCAAACCCGCTACAGCAGCTCCCAATTTAAATTGGCGTTTTCAAATACCGAGACCAGTCCTCGGCATGCCTTCTCTGGTCCTTGCATCAGCCTCTTACCCTTTGAGTTCTGCTTGCCTGACCACCCGTCTCAGCTGTCCCACCTGAGTGCACACAGATGTGAGGCCCAGTCCCCTAAGACAGATCATTGGGATCAGCCATGCTGGGCACATTCTCAAGGGCTGTCATTCTTTTGCTCTAGCTGGTCGCAGAGCTGGATCCTGATGTGAAAGGAGGAGGAGGAGGAAAAACCTCCTTGCAGGCTTGCTTAATTCAAAGCGAGCAGGCGTCAGCGCTGCACGCGTCACAAAGAGGAGGAATGGTTCCCCACAAGAAGGGCAGAAGAGGTGCAGATGGGCTTTAAGCCTGCGTGTGCTGATTTATAAGCCGAAAGGTGCAGTAGAAATAATTCGCACTGGAGCGGGAAGCACCAGCCCAGGATCGTTTGATGCGAAGGACATGGTGCTTCCGAACACACACACCGTTCCACGTGCGGAAGGTTCTTTGGCGCTGGTGAGGGTCCAGGGCCCCTCGCTGTAGCTGAGCTCAGGGCTGCAGGGACAGCTGCCTGGCACCCGCAGCTCTGCCCACCAGCCTGGCACCCGCAGCTCTGCCCACCAGCCTGGCACCTAAATTTTCAAATCTCGAGATTTATCTGGAGAAAAAAGAAAAAGAAACCAAGGGGCTAACTGTTGGTGGGCAACTTCAGGGCCCCTGCGTTCCTTTGTACAGGTCTCTGTCTTCAAAGAGGCCTTGGCCTGGGCGGTCCTTTAGAAGGAGGAGGCCTACGGGTAGAGGAAGTAGGACCCGTGGCTACTCTGCCTGTTCCCCTGGCCCTATTCTGATACGTCAGAGTTACTGCATCCTGTCTCTCCTCCTTTATTCTGTGTTACCATTATTGGCATGACACTTTTCCGGGAACAAACCCTGCAGAGCAGTGCACAAGAAACACAGAAATAGCAGGAGCAGGAAAGGCAACACGCACAGTTGTGGCAGGGGGAAGCCTTGGGGTCCTTCTCTCAGGCTGGGGACAGGGAAAGTGTGGCTCTCTGCACATGGCCACGGCCGTTGCGTTGCTGTGGTCACCTTGCCTAGCGGTTCGGTGCCTTGGATTTCAGCACTTAATTCTTCCATTGTTTTCTGTGTGTTTGAACACGAGTAGCCCATTCTGTGAAATGATCCTCGTGATGACGAGTCTGCCTTCTCGTCATTTTGCTCCACGTGATGATGAGTGTTTGATCTGATGTCTTTTTCATTACAGGAACACCTGTTTGGTTTTACATGCAAATCGCACCAATAAGAAATGAGCATGACAAAGTGGTTTTATTCTTGTGCACTTTTAAAGATATCACGTTATTCAAGCAACCTATTGAAGATGAAGCGACCAAAGGTATCTGTCTGTCTGTCTGCCTGTCAATTTATCAGTTTAACAATTTATCATCTATCGAACCATCTCGTAAAAGTACTCAGAAGAATTTTTCAGCCTTGGGTTTTCCAGAGAAAAGACAAGTGATGGACTATTTTGATAGTCATATTATATTCTTTTTATATTATTGCCTTTGGCAAAGAAGGAACAGTATAGAAATTAAATGCATGAATAAATAATAAATGTAAATCTTTCCTCCTCTTTAACCAAAACAGATTAGCATATCAAAAGATTAAGGCGCCAGGAAGCTGTGCTGCTGTGGATCACAGACTTGGTGCCTGCTGTGCGTATTCTCCTGCAAACTGCAAGGCTGAGAGACGCTCTTTCGAAAGGCCGTAGGTCAGGGACGTAGCAAAGGTTCCTGACTCAGCCCTTGAAGCAACACTTGCCCAAATTGTGTTGCTGCCTGAGGCTAAAAATAGATGAGATCCTCCACCATTTCATCTATAGAAGCCAACTGGGCCAGCATGCCAATCCTACTTCATTGCTGGTGATGGGACAGATCCTGCACTGCATCTGAGGGCAACAGACTGCTTGAGGCTGGCTCCATCGCCCAGCAAGGAGGAGTAGCTTTGAGCTGCCTTTGCATCTTCTGCCTGATTAATCACTTTACTCTGGCTAATGGTGGAGCCAGTTCTGGGTTGGAATCCCCACTCTGAAGGACCGCAGGAAGGGGAGTGGGAAAGTCCTTAGCATGAGGCAAGAACCGCTGTTAGTCAAGGAAGAGTAATGACTCCAAGATGGAACAATGATCTGGCTTGATACGAGGCCATTTTCAAAAAAATAAGGCCATTGTTTAACAAAAATAAACTTTCCCCAGCATGGTGTCCTTCAGAGTTTTTGATTATACCACCCACAATTCTTAACGATCGGCCGTGTAGGCTGGGGCTGATGGGAGATGAAGTCAAAACATCTGCAGGGTACCAGATTGGGGAGGGCTGCTATACATAAGCTGGTTTGTGTCTTACTAGTAAATAAGAGATGCAACTGTTTCGTCAGACATGGTGCTCTGGTGTTTGCATAATTCATATCCTCTTAGTTCCAAACTACATTGCCATATACTTTGAGCCTTTCCAGCTGAGTCTATTTTGGAATTATGAAGCAGAAAGGTACATAAATTAAAATGTGCTGGGAAATGTAGGAATGGGGGTGAGGAAGGCCCCAGGTGAGGCATCATTCAAAAATGATAGAATGTGTAGATGGAATGCCTGGTTGCATTAAAAAAGATGCTTTTCACGCAGGGGGTGCACGGTTTGTACATAATACATATGCAAAATGTTGCCATCTCACGATCGTTGAACGGGGGATAGATATGAGCCAGCATTTATTATTCACAAAAAGAGTACATTTCATTGAAAAATTCAATGGAACTAAAATGTTGATGGCAACATACACCAGTCCAATTGTCTCAGTGTATTTTGTGGTGATGCAGCCTTCTAGAAATGTCCCATGGCCCCAGGAATTTATGATTCTATGCTTCTAGGAAATGAAACTACACACTTCCTTACATAATAACCCCCCCGCCCCGCAATGAATGGCTTGATAAGGCAGGCTTTGCACACAGAAACATACCATTCCGAACTAGGGAAATTCAGCTTCCATGTAGCCTGAAGTGCCTGATCCTGCCTAATCTTGGAAGCTAAGCAGGGTCAGGCCTGGGCAGAAGTGGGATGGGTGACTTGAGCGTATGATTCTATGATTATTGCTGTCAACTGCCTAGAGAGCTTTGGCTATGGGCAGTATAAAAATGTAATAATAATAAAATGTGAAAAATCCACTTGGGGTAGGAATCCACTGGATTCCCTGGGCTCAGCTCCCCATATTCCACAGTCCAAGTTCCTAGCAGGCATACTCAGCACTTGTGGGGCACTAGGCAGGAATTGATTCCCATGTGCTGCGCAAGCAACGCGCCCCCCCCCCCCCCGTTCATGCCACGTGTCGCAGCCTTTCTGCCGCTGTGCCTGATGCGGAAGAAGGTTGTTTGTAGAGGGTTTACCAGGAATGGAGCCCCACGTGACCACTGCCCATGCAACCCCCCCCCCCTTTCGCACGACCTGCATCAGCTTCTGGGCATGGAAGAAGGGGGCCAGTTGCTCAACCAGCGGTGTTTGCAGACTTCCTCTCAGCTCAGCTCACTTTCTGAGTCTGGGCCGAGCATGAGAAGAAGCTTATGAATGCCAGAGCGATGAATTCCACCAGGTTTTGTGCAGCTGTATTGCACACCCTTTTCCATTTTCCATTTGAGAGAGGGACCAGAGCTCAGACGTGCATAGAGCTCAGAGGGACCAGATGCTCCGGTTCATATGCATTTGGGAGGGACCAGAGCTCAGATGTGCATAGAGCTCAGAGGACCAGATGCTCCGGTTCATATGCATTTGGGAGGGACCAGAGCTCAGACGTGCATAGAGCTCAGATGTACTTGGCATGCTGCAAGTCCAACTTGGGATCTCTGTTCCATACGGCTGGCATCAAAGGGAGGCTTGGTTGGGCATCGCCTGTGGCTGATGCCTGACTAAGGTCCCAGCCGCAGGAACCTCCTCATGTACCACCTTGCAGCAGTGGCCGGGACACAGGTGAGGAGAAGGTAGGGGGCCCCTGCGGCTGTTTTGCAGAAGGGTCCTCAAGAACCTGGAGCTGCCATTGCTTTAGTTCCAGGCTCCAGTGGGTGGATCTCAGGAGTCTATTGGAAAACAGTGTAGATTCTGCAGGTATACCATCTGCCCAGCAATGTGGTCCAGTAGAGAGAGTTAAAGCACCGTCTCACACTCTCTTTTCTCCAAATAGCCGCCTCAAACATCAGTAGATCCTTCTTTCGAATAGACATGCATAGGCTGGTTCCCGTAAATGTTATTTTACTGAGAAAACTTCCTCAGGGGCAGCAAAACTCCAGTCAACTGCCTTCCTTGCATTTCTCAATAACAGGCTTACAAACTGAATAGGTCACATTGGAACTAGTGTGACTTACATTTGAGTAGACCTACATAGGATTGCATTGAGAATTAATTTGCATTCAAAGTATTAAAAGGGCTTCTAATAGATCAGTGGCCAAACAATTTGCAAAAGGAAAAAACCCCCTACTTTGTATGCATTTTCTACCCAGCATATGGGTGGCCCATAGGGAATTAATGGTATGTATGAGGCAATTTGTTGTAAATGACCAGGTTATGATGATTTTCTAGGAGAGGTTTACTAAAATGGTTCCTTCTAGCAAAATATTTGCTCACTGCAAACCAAACCAAACGGATAACCTTAATATCACACAAACATTACTTCTAGAATTTTCCTGATACGTACAAAAACATTTTTTCACAACCAGATTTTGTTAAATATAGACCGTCTTATCTCCCTAAACTATCAGCTGGCTTTCATTTTCCCTTGATGGAATTGGAGGATATTTTGTAACCAGAGTTTTATTCTATTTGTGCTAATTTAGATTAGCACGAGTGCACGTTCGCACATTAGTGTGACAGCCTGCGCATTTGTGCCAATGTGCTAATGTGTGCTGATTCATCTGAATTAGTGTAAATTTCCCCACCTCGTGAAAAATACAGTCCATAAAGCTTGCTGTATACTCCGTAGGTTGTATCCATAAAAAATTCTGACCTATTTGCATCTGACATATGTAGATGTTACCACGACAGAGTTTCTGAGTTGTCAAGGGAATGTTCATTGCTTGCTCAATGAATATATATATTTAAAAATATATGATGACAGGGGAAAGTTGAAATAAGCAAATTGTCTTGATATGAAAGGAAATGGATCTGCAGGACAAGGAAGCAAATTCTAATGTTCAAAGGAAGATCAGTGGCCAAGTTACACATTCATGTACATCAGCAGATTCCCTCTTCACCTCATTACTCAGGACTTGCATAGAAATTGATTGTTGAGAACAATTCTGTTGATAACAAAGATTCCTTTGTTGGCATCCAAGGCACCGATTCCAGAGTGGCATATTTAGAACAGAATTATTGAACTCAGAGCAACCTAAGATGCTCATGGCTGAGTCGGATTTATTTCAATGGGTCCACCCTGTGTATCACTGTGTCTCCAGGACACACATGAAAGCCAACACCTTCTGTGGTTGTAGTGGAAGGATGAAGATGGATGCAGTAGCACAATACAGAAGATTGTATTGTGCCATTTCTCTGCTGGATTGGAACAAGGCTCTGTCCAGAACAGGAGCAGAAGGGACAGATCTGTTCTGAAGTCAAAGATGAACAAAATGGTGAATTGAACAAATCCAATAGCTACAGTCTCATCCAGTTGCCAGCCAAATTAGACCGATGTGGCCTGTAGGTAAACATTCCATGAAGAGTTCAAGGGATGTACCACCATTGAAAAATTCATTCGAACTACACCTTGCAACTAGTCAAGTACCTTTTGTTCAATCATTTGCTCATTCATGGAAAATTTGCACACCTAAAAAAAGGAGAAATCCTGCTAAACTTTGGAAATCCCTCCCCAAATGCATTTTTTCATCCTTTAGCTTATGGGGGCAATACACATATTCATTTTTTAAATATTTTTCTGCATGTTTCTGTGACTAGATTTGCATGAAAGAATGGATTTCTTCTTTTTAAGTGTGCAAATCTGCAGAATTTGTGTGACTTTGGAAAACCGGGTGTGCTGCAGAATCCATAGGTCTGGTGCCTAGAAATCTGAAATTGTTTGAATCCGTTGTGAATGCTTTCAACTTCCCCACTAGCAATGCTAATTCCACATGATAAACATGGCTAAATACACAGATCTGAACCCAGGCTTTTAAACTTCATGTACTTAATGCCCCTGGATGTAAATGGGAAAAGCTGGCAGTTTTTCCCATATAGGATTTTTTAAAAAATCTCATATTCTTTCCATCCCAAATGTTTTGCCTTACAATTCCCATCAGCCCCAGCTAGCATAAGTTGTGGGGAGGAATGAGGAGAGGTGCAGGTTGACCCCCCCCCCCTTGCTGGTCACAACTT